ATCCAAGTTTTCGAGAAACGCATATTTTAATATTTTAAATCCGAAAAAAAACTCGTCTCGAAGAATTGGACGAGAAAAAAGATATAAAAAAAAAACTTTTTTCTCGGTCCGTACGTGCGCTCAGCTCGCGAATGCCGTTACAACTTTTAAGGCGGGTGGGGGGGGGGGGGGGGGGAAATAAAACAAAACAATGCACGCCGTTACGTTATTTATTCTCGCAGTCGCGTTGGTCACGGACGTTGGAAACGACGGCGCGATAACGAGATACACAAACACGCGTGCGGCCGCGTGTTTACGCTGTGATTATCGACTTTTCGAGAGCCCCGGTGTCTCCGGATACCACCCGGATGATGTCGGACGCGGAGTGAAAAAAAAATTTAAAAAAAAAAATACGAATAAAAAACCAACGTGCGCGGTTTTTTTCTCGACCGTTTCGCAACCCGGAGAGAGATCCGCGGACGTTTCGTCGTCGTTGTGATACGTGTTCGAAGCGCACCGATATCGCGTGTATTGTCGCTGCTGCGGCGACAGTTTCTTAAGGAGACGTACACGAATTCTAATACGAGATAATGTGCGTGTCCTTATTGTTGCTCGCCGCCAGACGCGCGCGCCCAGTTAGGAACGACAATAGGAAACCCATTGTGATGATAATATTCATGGGCGTATGCAAAAGGAGGGGCTAAGGGGGATCCGACGAGAAAAATTAGCCATTACGAACTAGTTCGTTTTTTTTTTCGCTCGTGATCCGCGAGATGCAAAAAAAAATCGCACATCACTTATCTGGGTTTTATTTGATTTTTTTTTTCCAACCACTTGATCCCCGTCGAACTGTTTTCGTTTTACGTATCCAACGCATGCGTTCATTGCACCCAGAGACCGTTAAATTTCGTAAACTCCTTTGCACGTTATTTATATAATCAAAACAAATGCGACGGGTGATGGTGTCTCGCTCTCTACCCCTTTGCCACCGGTTTTACTACGTGCAGATAAATAATCCGTTGAATCTTTTTAACGTAAAACCCTATACGATGGCGGTAAAAAGGAATATTTTATTATTACAAACCGAATCCATTGCGATTAAGCCGAATCCATTCGAAACGTGTATTATTCTATTTTTTTTTTCAGTTACAACAACTGGTTTCAAACCAGAAACGACCTTTTCCAACAGTGATATGAAACCGAAATTTTAAGTAACGTAATATTTTTAATATTCCATCGATTTTAATTTAAAGTTCCATGTCAGCCGTAACCTAAAGTATTGAAGGTTATTTGATGAATTATTAAATGTTGTATTTTTAATCCGTATGTAGTATTGAAATAATAAAAATGTATTCGTGTTCATTAAAACTTGAATTTTTATAGGTACACGGAATAAAAAAACGTAAAAAAAATACGCATCTACGTACAAATCACATTTAGTAAATATGTTTTCGGTTTCATTAAACAATAATAATACGAGTATATGAAATATACTAGTTTTATACTACGACTTATAAGTAGTAGTAGCGCAAACTATATTTGTATAAAATGCTCAGTTCTTTCTTGCAAAACAATCAATTTTCTCGATCAAATATACGTAAATCAATGACATTTTTAGTTGTTAAATTAACACATATTTATTTGAATCATAAACGTTATCGTTTTTACGGTACGAGTGACGTTAACATTGTCGTTCATCTTTATCAGACTTGTGCTTTAATCGGTGTGTTCGGTCTTATTCCAACGGAATAAATATATAAATATGAATTTGAAACTCTAATATTTTGTTATACAGTATATGTATATTTTTCGTATTCTATTATGTATGCATGCATATTATTATTATTAATATTATTATTATTATTATTATTGCAATAATATGCATTTTATATTATAAAATATAAAAGACACTATAATAAAAGTTAACAATATGTATAATTATAATTTTAAATAATATATACTTTAATAATATTTTAAAGAGATTTATTTTTAAAATAATAAAAACGTACGTTTACAAAATTATAAACGACACTTGATCAATACTCTTTCAGCTAGAAACTCTAACACGAAATGTTTTTATATTTATTTTTGCTTTTTCCAATTTAAATACTGTTTTCTATTTCAGTATTAAAATGTAAAAATAAATATACTGTTTAATTCAAAAAATCATTAGACAAGAATTTGCTGGAATAGTTTGACTCGAAAAAATAATGACTTTATAAAGCTTTTTAGTAGCGTTTCATGTCTGAGAAATTCACCTGAGAAGTTTGAACGATTCAAAAATGTCAAATCCCATAAAATAAGTAAAACGTCACTTTGAAACAATAAGTAGCAATATTTATTTTTATTATTATATTATAAAAGAAAATAATAAATGAACTATTTTCACTCTAAAATGTTAAAAACAAAATTCCTTTACTTTGCGCAAGATTTTATCGGCTATTTATTTTTAAAACGACGGTAAAAGAAAAAAAACAACTCACATTTCGTGTATCGACATGATAACTTCAATTTCGAGGGGAAAAAATACTAAAATTCAGTAACCGTTTTTGCACCATTCAGTTCCTAACAATATTATTTAATTTAGCATGTTATAGACGACGAAAACTTTTTAACAATAACCATATGTTTAAATGGTTTACGTCGCGTAATTCCTCGTCCTAAACCGTCGAGTGCGCAGTAAACGTTTTTTCGCAATACCTGAGTAACGTTAAAACTAATTCATAATTTTTTCAATTCCTTAGTAAATTACGGGTCTTGTGATGAATTTTTTGTTACCCACACGCTCGCCGTACAACAGTTTTAACTGTTTCTTCTTGTGGCCAAAACTGTGTTTTTCATTATACCATGAATAATGTCTGCTGCACTTGGGGTCGAAAAGTATAAGTCAATAATTACTACCTATACATAATTATTGTATTTATCCATTTAACTTGTTACTCTCGCACATCAATAGTGATTGTATTGTAAGTAATGCAGAAAAACAGATATGATTAAATACTCGTATTGTATTTATAGTAAACGATAACTATGTCAGTTTTATACACAAAAAGAGTATCAACATTTCTTACGACTCCTAACTTCATTTTTTCAATAGATAACTTCAGCACATACTTGAAATGGTTATACTTATCATTATTAATAGTTATACGAACGATATGAGCGCAGTTTAATTAGTTCCATATACACGGCTGTATAAATAATAAATTAAAATAATATTTTATGACAAATTTCAATATCCAGTTCAATAATCGTAAAATGTCATATTATTAAAGAATGTTACACAAAACCATTAATAATTAAATTCCACGATGGAAATGTTAAATACATTTAATTATAACGTTTTATATTCTTAGATATGATTTAATATTCTCTAAAATGTAGACACAAAAAAATCGGTTTTATCGCAATCAATTAGTATTTTTACACTCGAATATTATAACACATTAAATATACATCTTGTTTGATTTAAAACGGAAAAAAAAGTCTATTTAAAATATTAGTTATTGAGTTTTGTATTTTACATAATCAAAATATTATCTTTATTAAAAAATATTTTTTTTCTCTTTATCTAATTTAATGAATATAAGTAATTATATTGAATCGATTTATAACGAAGAAACAACTAATTCAACACAATAGTCTTATTGATACACAGTTGTTATACTATTGAAATATTACATGCAAAACATTTAATTTAACCTATATCTATGTATATTAAAGTCAATTAAATATTTTTTAAATTGAACTGATATAGATTTAGTGCAAATTATTAAAACATAAACCTGAAATTCTTCTTTATGCTCGTTTATTAATTCCATCTTGTAGAATTTAACATTATTATCATTTACGTGGCCACAATCAAGAATTTCTCATTTGATTTTGAATATTAATAAGAAAGCCGGAGTTCGTGTATACGGTCATTTGTCCGATTTTAAAAAGAAATTTTATTTCCACATACAAGCATTGCATGAATTCGGTATGTTATATTGGGTAGATAATTAACTTAATCATATGATAATAAAAAGGTTCTCGGAATTGATTGCTTCAATCGTCTGCCCTTAGGATTGCGTTTCTTCTCCTCCTCCCCCTACGGTCCCGAGAATATATACGAGATGATAAATATCGAATGAAAAACGAAAAAATACGCTTGAAAAATTATGGACTGATTAATTATTTTAATTTGATTAACATTTCAAACGACCGTAATGGGTGTACATTTTCGGTCAAATCCATCATCGGAGTATAAAACGAACGTTATCGCGCAAGTAACACGTATAGTAATACGCAAATGATACCGTACAATTTGTTTTTAATTCGATTGCGTAGTCACGCTCAAAAGAAAATCATATTAAAAATAATAAAACGTTATAGTATTTTATCGATATAAGTAATATGGGCTAATAATAATATAAATAATATGATACGCGCACACGACGCGCGCGCGTCGACCGCACATTACACAATAATAACGTGAAAAAAATTCAACGCCCGTTACGGATTAAACGGATTTCCGTTGGTCCGCGGCCGGTCTCGTTGAATCAATTTCGACGGTCTCACCGTTGAACTGGGCCGCGTTCGGGTCGGTTCACCGATGATGGGCGAACACAAACGGTAACCGTCGGCCCGACCGATTTTCACTCGATTCGCGTACGACAATGTTTCGCGAATAAAATTACAACATCACCGTCAGCGTAAGGTTTGCGCACACGCGAACGCATCCGCGGCAACGTTTCGCTTTTATTATTTTCGCGTGTACGTTACACTATTATTTTTACTATTATTATTATATTCGGATTTGGTTTTTTTTTATTTATTTTTTTTTTTTCGGAGGGAAACGCGCGAGACGTGGCCATTGGACTCGAAAATCCGTTCCCCCCGCCCGCACGACGGGCCGCGCCCAGACGGCCGATCGCACGGTGGCGGGGGACGGCCGGGTCGGCCGTTCGGGCGCCGTCGCCGCGGCCGTGGTGGGGATACGAAGGGTTTCCTGCTTTTCGAATTTTACATTTCAGTGTCACCTGGCCACCGCACCGGCACCGGCACCCGACACACGAGACGGGAGCAAAAAACTAAAAAAAAAAAAAAGAACGTAGTCAAATAATAACAGTGAAAAAACAACGGCCGCGCACGCACACGGGATCCACGAACGCTCGTCGCCGTCGTCGTCGTCGTCGTCGTCGCCCGTCGCCCGTCGCCGCCCGTCCGTCCGCCGCACACGGTCGTCGCGTCTCGCACAGTCGCCGTCGCGCCGTCGCCCGTCCGTTGTCCGTCGCCGTAGCAGTCCGCCGTCGTCGCCAGTCGTCGCATACGCAGCACACGCGCGCGCTCGGGCCTAACTCCGCGGACGCCAACCCCCTCGAGCAACGGAGACGACAAGCACGCGGGGGACGCACACGCACGCCGTGGTGCAACGCGGAGATCAATCGGTTGACATTTTTCCAAAGATTTACACCGTTGTGATTCGATTTTAATTACTATTGTTAACGGTTCGAGTACGTGGGATTTGATTTTGATTTTTCTGATTATTTTTTAATTTCTCCCATCCCGTAAAAAAAAAAAAAAACGTATTCTGTTATCACGTAAATCGTATTTGTTCAGTCGTCCGATGTCGTCGCCGTCACTGTCGCCGTCGCCGTTGCCGTCGTCGTCGTCGTCGTCGTCGTGCCGCAGTATCACCGTGTCGAGTGCGAAACGTTTTTCACGATGATCACGGATTTTCGCGCTTTGTTTTTCGCCCGAGTGAGTGAACGAGCGAGTGCCGCGTCGCTCTCGTAAACCGCGTCGTACTCAGCGCACCTGTATATATCAATTTTGACATTTACGTTTTTGTTTTTTTTTTTAAATATTATTAATATTAATACATCGAATTGTTTGTTATTATTTTGAAAATTTTTCGTGTTTTTTTTTTTTTTTTTGCTGCGGTTAACCGTATATTAAAATTTCATCGTTAAATTTACATTGTTTGTGCAAGTGCGTCGTGGACGCAGGACGTGCGCGCCTAATACTACACCACGATCGGCTGTTTTCGTAAGTAATAATAATCGTCATATCATCGCTTTATTATATTTTACTGCCGTCCGCGTAGTATTTATTTTCTTACGATCTTAACCACCTCTTTTGGCCACGTTACATACTCGTGCGATGTAACAACACCAAATATTGCTACCTTACTTTTCTCAAAAACCTCGTATGTCCAGTACACGTGAGATGTAAAATATTATGTTTTGATTCTGTTAAAAACAGTTGACAGTTTAAAACGTTTCAAAATGATTTTTTTTTTCCGTTAACTCTTCCGTCGTGCAGTGTACACACAAGAAAAAATGATTTCAAGACGTTTTTTGCACGCGTATACTTGCCGTAGTGAATATGTCCGATAAAAAAATACAATGCTATACAGTGTTTGTTGGCTAAAAAACCATTTGCGTACATATAATATAAATACCAAACTTGTAATCGAATATTTCGCAATTGCATTAATTCCCATCAATTACCGCATAAATATACACATAAATGTACACACGCGCGCTTTCGGAAAGACTTATATATATATATATATATATATATATATATACATACACACACACCTTGTTAATTAATTGAAATAAAACGTTTTTCTTTTGGTTTTTTTTTCTTTTTTTTCTTACGAAATACAATAAATTTCCTGACACGTATGAACAGTGTATAATGTGCGGTTGAGTAGCTTTCACGGGGTTAAAAAACAAACATACGGTTAATAACAATGTATGATATTATTAAAATTGATGCAATTATGTTATTGGCAATCATCTCGATATTTTAGGAATTAAATATAATTACGTTTCCCATCTGAAAATCGATTATATTTAAGTGCTGACAAATTATTCGCACAACGAGAAAATTCGTTCAATTTCGTGAAATTCGACCTTATCTGAATGTGAAGTGGCATCCATAAAAAAAAAAATATATATATACATACGATAAATTCACGTAAGCCTAAAAAAAAAAAATGATGAAAAATAAGACTAGTAGTTGACCTAAACCAATTATCACACCTTGTTATCTAACAATTTTTTTTTTTTTATTCTAATTTTTAATTCTTTGCCCTTCCTTCTTTGTTCATTACGATTTTCTACGTAATCAAGTAAAAAGCTAATAAATCGATTAAAACGTCTGTTATTATTATTTGTTTTATCATTCATATTATATGTGTTCTTTTTAAGCAAAATCTATAATACAAAATACATACATAAGAACAATATTTTTTTCATTTATTCATACTTTTTCCTAAAACCATACCAATGTATTATTTGTATGTTTTAAAACTCGAACGAGCACAACTATGAACTTTTTCTCGTGAACCTTACGGAATCTTGTCACTTTCATAATATCATCTTAACAATATACTATTTATACTTAGTAAAATCAAGTTCAAGTTCAATACACTACAAATAGGTATGGGTACTCATCTACGGTGTTCGCTTAAATATTATAATCGATTGTATGGATCATATGTGCACAGAAAATATTTGTCAATAATTCTAACAAGATAATTCCGCAATAAAAAATTTCAAAAAACTGGGCAACATTTATTCTGATCGTCGAATTTTTTATTCGCAAGTATTACATAAATTTTATGCAACATTCAATTTTTAATATACTTTAGTGACATCGGAAATGGAACACGGTACCTAGGAAACGTTAGCCGACAATGTTTTTTTTTTGTGTGTATGTATGTGTGTTTCGATTTCGTAATAGTGCTTACAAATGCAATTATTTCGTGTAGAATTTCAACATTTTTTTTTTCTTTTTTTTTTTTTTTTTTGGTTTCCGGAAAGGAGTCCGTCTCACCTGTACACAGGAAGCCAATAAAAGTAAACATTCATGCTACCTGTGCTAAGTATGTAATTTTTGTTGCGAATCCGCAGAGGTCAATCGTATAGACTTGAAGACATATGGCTTTATAGTTGATATGTATATTGTGGGCGAATTGTAATTCCATTACATTTTTATACGTAACGTTTTATTGCCCTAGAATTTTTGTATTCAATACACAGCATTGACAGAACGCGTATTTCAAATGAAATTCATTTCAATTTTATTCATTAATCAAATGTTATAATGATAAAAATAAATAAATAAAAATACTATCCCGATAAAACGGGTAAAAAAGTAGATACATATAATTGATTTATACGTAGTCATTAAAATGACAAATTTTATTCTCTCGTTTTTGAGCAACACATTATCGTCCAAATCCGTCTAATAAAAATAATTTTTACAACCTTCGTGTTTCCTTTATGCTGTACACGTAAATGTATTTAATATTATTATTATATTATATTGTGTTTACGCGTTCGAGTTGAATTCGTCCGAAATACATACTTGCGGAACAGCCAACAGCCATTCCTGCTGTCCTGACCGTTTGGTTTTTCTTTGATACATCAAGTCTTGTACACATCTTACAATAGTATTCGTGTTTACTCGAAAAATATGATATTTACCCTATAGGTATATATAAGAAACGAATCTCAAACGTATAAAACATAGTAAAAAAAAAAAGAAAAAAGAAAAATAAGCGTCAAATAAGACCGAACATAAATAACTGTACGGTCAACATTCATCAAAAAGGTCGATAACTTTTAGCCAGAGGCCGCAGTCACATGTTTTGTTTTATTTTATTATTTTTGATATTATAACCATTGCGATTATTTTTACTACGAATTATTACTGTACTATTATTTTATATTTTCTTTGATCGTCTTCGAAAAAGTACAACACCGAATAATAAAAAAGTGGAGTGACGTAGGCTGTGTTCATCGCTTAATTCTTATTCTTATTTTTCTACTACTGCTTGAAAATAAAATCGAAAAACGTTTTTTTCTCCATTATGTTTACCAATATTTTCGTCCGCGCGCATGCATATAGAGGTACGTCCGTGTGTGTATACACGTGAAAGGGTATCCGTAAAGGATACACCACGCCGGATATAGGAGTGTCCCGCTACTGTTTGTTTTCTACTGCGTGTGTGTATGCTCACGCTCTGTCAAGGTTTCTTAAACATTAAAGGCGCAAGCCGTGTTCACTTCTTATTTTTAACTAATTATGTTTTTTTTTTTTTTTTTTACTCATCGAAGATGGATATGCATCAATTATAAGTCTTTCGACACATGTAGAACACATACATAATGTAATATTCGACGTTACGATATCTTATGGAGTACAATCAACCAGTTATTTTTATTTATTTTCTCTTCTCTTTAATACCGATATGAATATTTTACACGAAACGCGAGAAAACAAGATTTTTTTTTCCTATAGTCATTATAAACATGAATACATTTCATAACCCAGATAAAACAGCTAGTATTTCCACTTCTGGCCAGAGGAGCACGTAGAAGATCACGGATAATGTTATCATTTGTATTTGTCACCCGATATTAATTGCCCAATAAAAGTTCGCCGCCACCGTTGCACACACCGCGATAATGGACCTTATTGCCTTTTGACCGAGTAATTAACTGGTATTATCGTCCCGCAACACCATAAAACTCTATTTAGGATATAATATTATACGCACTCAAATGGCCCGGAATCATTTTTATCGGGCTCTATTATCCGATGTGCTTGAGACATTATACGTTTATTATATTCCCTGGGAACCAATAAAAAATTAAAATATTCAATTAAAATAACAAAATCGTTCGAGTCGTAAACCGCGGTCAGATAGTATGCGGCTGTTATAACGTACAGCTGAACCAGCCGGCGTCACAATGGGGAGGGGGGGAGGGGACAACGGGCAAGACGTGTGGCTATGTATAATAATAATAATAATATGTTATTCGTCTGTCCAAACACATAACTCGGGATTGACTGCAATTATTGAGATTTCGATAACTCCGAATAACGCGCCAAGGGAAAATTTGGCAATTATTCCGATGGTGCACTGTGAAAAGTTTCTGAATTGGCAGCTTGACAACGTCGGTTCATACATTTTTATTAATCCTGTAAATTATTTCGAAAATTCCATTAAATGTCGTCAGTCAATACGTTATTTGTACGCACGTCTGTAACGTTCGTGTTCGAAAAAATGCAATAACGAGTGAAACGATATTCTTTCGACGGTCGAAAAACTATGATACGTGTACCCACAAGTATACGCGTGAAAGTGGCGATTTGCGTTTTGCAGTTTTTCAATCACTCCGGCAGTTTTCATCGAACGCGTTTAACGATAATGCGGTCAAAACACCATTAAAATTATAACGCGTACATGGAATATATATATAAGGTTCCTGTACAGCATGTGGTTACTTCGGCGGTATACCTAAAACATAAATTAGAATCATAAATCGTCTTTTACGCCAAATCAATACTGTGTACAACGGGATGAAACGTAAAAAAAAAAAAATGATGTCCCGTAGCAATAAAAGGTACATCGCGCCGAGCCAACGGCGACCTTAACCCAAAAGGACGAACTGTAACAGAGACGCGCAATGAAGTACGTTCTGCTGCTGCCGTTTAGCTTACCGAATCCTGTTTACCGTTATTATATTATTATGTATGTGCGGTGTAGTGAGTTGGAGGGTTTATTAATATTATTATTTACCTACTACCGCGCTTACCGTACTGCTGTTATGGTTTTTCGTAGACGGAATTCACAATTATGATTATATATTTTTTTTTGTGTATATAATTCGAATTCTTCGCGAACCGATCGATCCCATATGTGTGCATGCACGCAAAATTCATATTATAACTAGTCCATTTATATTAAAAAAAAAAAAAAAAAAAAACAAGCAATAAAAACGTATACGGAAAAACAATTTTCCCTGGAAATCAAAAGTCGCCGTACACATACATGTATTTGTATACGTGCTGACACGGGTACGCGTTTCTCCGGGGAGAGAAAAAAAAATTATACATAAATATGTAAAGCTAAATCTAGTCGACCCAGTTGCCGCCGCGTGGTGGATACGATGGGAGTGGTCGCGCGTAGTAAAATTAAAAAATAAAAATATCTATCGGCTATTAAAATTTATACACATTATTGT